GGTGTGGGTTTTGTTCTGTTCTTTTTTTCCCTCTGGTAGTTCCTTGATTAAGGTATTGTTTACTGCTTGTATGTCTGGTGGTAATCTTGGTGTTAATCTCTGCTTATCTGGGTGAAGATTGCTGGTAAGCATATATCTTATATGGCCAACAATACCTTAATCAAGGAACTACCAGAGGGAAAAAATAAAACAAAACCCCCACCCCCACCAACACCAGCAGGGCAAGCTACTGTATATAAACAGGGAGCAAACCCCACTCCCTTCTAGCACTGAAGATGTTACCTAGCTGGGTAACGAAACGTTTGCAAGAAAACAACCAAGCTCAGAGAACCCCAAGGACTCCATTTGTGTCATCTTCAGAAGATCCCAGCCCTGTTTGCCTTCTGCCTCGATGTCTAAGTGACTACCATGCCATTTCATAAAGAACCTGGGAATACAAAAGTTCCTCCTTTCTTGGTCAAATTAAATGTCTGTCCAGGGATGGCTAAAGGCACCTGTGGCTTGCTTTTTTTATCCAGCCCGTTTTGTGGCCTCTGGAGACCTCCAGAATTGTGCTGCTGAAGAACCTGCTATATGATTTCTTTCTTAAAGTAAAATAGGAGCATTTGGCTGCTAATAGGATGAATGAACATTTTACTTATCCTGCCCAACATCTGGGGGTCAAAAATTCTACCCCTCTCAGGTGATGTCCCTGCATCACTGCCATGGCCCCTCGGATCTTGGGAACATGAAAGAAAAGGAAAAATCCTTTTTTTGTTTCTTTTTCTCAAAAAGACTGACCAACTTGCTGTACAATCCAGTTTCTCCGGGGGAGGGGGGCAATCAGAAGCAAGCAAGCAAAGCATGGGGCAGGAAGCTGGTTTTTCCTTTGCAGCTCATAATTAGAAATATGCTGCTTCTGGGGGAGGTCTGTATATTTTGGGGGGTGACCCTCAATCCTTAATTATAATTTTAGAAATCTGCATTCAGGGTGCATCAGTAGAGCTGAAGCAAAAAGTCCAAATGGTGACATTCTGTTCCCTGATTTGCATTTGATTCCTGTCAACTGGGTTCAGAAGGGGTTTGCTGTGGCCTCCTTCCTAGGACTGAGAGATAGAGACCGACCTGAGGCCATCCAGCAAGCTTTCAAATTAAGACTAGGTTTCCCCACTCCTTTACAGAACTGACTCTCATTTTTGGCTAGCAAAATGGAGTCTGCAAGAAAATGTTGCAGCGTGATTAAAATGCCAATCATGTTCTTATCCAGGAGACTCCATTCATTCCTGGTTTCTTTCTCTCTCTCTCTCTCTCCCCCCC